GCTTTATTGTTAACTTACTACCACAGAATTTTAGATCGTGTAAAGACAATTATAATGTTTGGGCTATCAGGCAGAGAACCAAAATAATCACATTTTGACGGTGAGGCGGTAGGTTGAATACAGGCCACGGTGATTTATTTAAAAACACTATAATTAATTATTTCATTATTTACATCTACCCCGAAAATATTTTTAAAAATAGTTCAAAAATCTATTAGACCTCAGCTTGATTAATTAAGACATTGCTAACAAATCTGGTAAATAAAACATTAACAAATTATAGTTTTTTTTTAAATAAATAATATTATATTTATTTAGTTTGTGCTGTTTATTTTGTTAATTAATCTAAATTAATCTTATCTTTTAAAAATCGCTCCGTTTTACGTCCGGGGCATATAATGTTTAACAGTCTACTTAGAAAAATTAATTTTGTAATCAGTGTGTTATGGAGACTGAGATCACATGATTATCCCCCCCCCCCCCCCGCACCCACCACACACACACACACACACCTTCCTCTGACCACGCCTCTTCCCTTACGTTCTCCCTACCATTTCCCCACTTTTTAAGTTTTTCTTTTTTGGATTTCAGCGGCGTAACCAATCAGCTGGTTGACAGTAATTGACTGGGGCCGTGACCCCTATGGGCGTACGCAGTAGTGTGGCAAGTTCAGATATATATATATATATATATATATATATATATATATATATATATATATATATATATATATATATATATATATATATATATATATATATATATTCACTACATACCCGTCTTTCGCTACAAAGTTAATTTACATTTTATTTATAATATATAAATTATATTATATTTAATTTTGTACTTAAAAAATTCGGTGTGTGTATGGGGGGGGGGGGGTACATTAATAGACTGGGGCCCTCAGCCCTATGGGCGTACGCAGTGGTGTGGCAAGTTCATATATATATATATATATATATATATATATATATATATATATATATATATATATATATATATATATATATATATATATATGTATGTATATATATATATGTATGTATATATATATATATATATGTATGTATATATATATATGTATATATATATATATATATATATATATATATATATATATATATATATATATATATATATATGTATATATATATATATGTATGTATATATATATATATATATATATGTATGTATATATATATATATGTATGTATATATATATATATATATGTATGTATGTATATATATATATATATATATATATGTATGTATATATATATATATATATATATATATATATATATATATATATATATATATATATATATATATATATATATATATATATATATATTCACTGCATGCCCGTCTTTCACTACGAATTAACTTACATTTTATTTATAATGCGGAATTTTGTACTTAAAAAGTTCGTGGTGTTTTGGGGGGGGGGGGGGCTAGGATTTTGGGGACCCGTGATCTTTGTCCGCCTTTGTTGATACGTCACTGATTCGTTTACATAGGTAGGTATGGGTGTTGTGCAATAAGCGTCATGTGACCGTAGTATTCGCAGAGGGATTACGGGTTTTGAGGGTGGGGGGGGGAGAGGGGAGGGGAGGGGGAGGGGTGAGGAGGAGAGAGGGTAGGGGAGGGGGGAGAGTGGATGAATGTCGCGTCAATAAAACGTCACTCCATTCAGTTAACGTTTTATGCTACCGGCGCCAGGCACTCTCACTTGGGTTTTTGTGTACCGTATGTCACATGATCACCTGGTCACGTCTCGTGACTTTTACTGATCAACATTATGAAACACACTCAGGGCTGTGTGTTTGTTGACTGAGTTAGCAAGTGAACAGTTAAAGGGTGGACTGCATTATTCTATCTATTTTTAGTCAGGTTGTCTACCTTTTCATTGGGGTTGGCTAAAATTAACGGATTATATTTATCCTAATCCAAACCATGTTGTACGATACATTGTGGTAGAAAGGTTAACGTGACATTTACCTTCCCCCCCCCCCCCTCCCCGAACTAAATAAAATTCACAGTTTTCTTCGTTTTACACCTCCCTACTTTATTTAGATCAACGAGCTGACCCTCGACATATCATACGCCGCTATTAAGTTGTTTTATTTTGTATTTTTCAGTTATTCATAATTTGTGAATTCAACACAACAAAAGCTGCGACTGAAAATATTTTGCTTTAAAACACCATCAGTAGCCCGTGAAGGACGATTGTCCTCACCCTCACTTTCCACTCCTCTCCCCCCACCCCCCGTGAAAGCAGCAGCCCGTGATGACAGTTTACAGACGACAATGAAAAGATCAAGCATAACTTGTTATTACCTCCCCTGAGTTTCAAAAGAATTATATAAATTCTAGCGTACCCGTCCCCGCGCGTTGCCGCGTGGATAGAAGAACGTCTGACGAAATATATAAGAAGGGTTTCATCAATGCGTTACCAATCCTATGTTCTTAGACGCGTGACCTTGTTTTCTGAAACTGTGTTATTTAAATGTAAACAATGCCTGCGCTTGTATCATAAATATCGGGACACGGGTTTACCTACACTACCGCATGAAAACATTGAGTGTACATTAATCACTCACCGAAATAATGAGGTAGAACAAACTTCGGTGACCGCCACTGTGTTAGGAACGTAGAGGGGCGCTCTCGGGGGCCTCTGATTACACTACCTCAGAGGCGCATTAGTGCTCGCAGTGGAAACAGGGGCGATTAGGGTCGTGCAATATACGGGGCCCCGGCAGTTGCGCCTGTTGAAGTTTTAACTCTGAATATTGTAGTACCCCTTACCCGCTATGCAGGACGCACGATTAACGGGTGACAAGTCCTAACATAGCCGCTCTGGAACTCTGGGAGCCATATTGTGTATTGACGAAAATCGCACCCTCCCGGGCGCCGTTTATATCAAATTTTAATTATTTTGTTAACAGAAACCTTTTCCGGAGTATTCTCATCACATCCTTAAAGTTATATTGCACTCGGATGAAAGGTTTCGAACCGCATCTGACTTTCATTTTTTTAATATACCTTATATAGAGAAGAATCGCACCCTCCCGGGACGCCACCCTTGCGAAATTAAAAAAAAAAGAGTGTTTTACAGAAACCTTCCCAAAGTTTCATGGCGATCGGATGAAAGATGTAGTAATGCATAAAAGACAGACAAACACATACACATACATTGCTTTTTATACGGATAGATTATAGATGGATAGTTTTTCAACCAGAGAAATTTCAAGGGAGGCAAGAAACTACGATTAATAAAGCAGAGTGAGAGTTATTTCCCTTGCTCTGACCTACATGCCTACATAAGTTGTAAACTAAACATAGCTGGGGTGTTGTGGTGACACATATAGACCCAATAAAACATTAGTCTACGTACTGCTGTAAAGACGGTCCTATATAAGGACATGACCCTCGGACAGACGAGGCTCTTTAGCTGGGTACAGCCACTCCTCTAGGAGAGACAACTCCAAAAAAACTACTGCCTTGTAGTTTATTCTTGGTTGGACAAAGGCTATGGAAGCAAATCCAAAAAGAAAACCAGGCTAAAATCGGAGTCAATGGCCTCAATGGCGCATAACCAGTTGACACGTATACTAAATTGTGTTGGAGGGGATCTAAAATTAAGAACCAAGCATTAGAAAGAAGAAACAACTGCTGCCTTGGGTGTACTAAGGTTAGAGCCAACGCATAATATGTCGACACGCGATACTTAATTCATTTGGAAAAAAATCCCCTCTAATATTACATTTTAGAAGGACAAAAAAAGAATAAAAAATGCAAAAAAAAGTTAGAGTTGTTATCTTGAAGGGTAAAATGATCCCGTTCTGTGGTTTTTTTTTTACACGTGTTTAAAAAGCCACAATAAATAAATTTCAAAAGGGGCCCTATCATGTTACTGGGCTGTAAATGTGTATACCCGTCTGAGGTAACATGCTGTGATAAAATAAGATCTACATGCAGAAAACTGGAAATTATATGAAAATAACAACCTATTTCAACAAATGTCTAGATTAGATTATAGTCACTAATGTCGTCTAGATTATTGTCGTGAAGGTTATAATAAAGTCATAACAAATGTCGTCTAAATTAGAATATAGTGACAAATTTCGTCTAGATAAGATTATAGTCACAAATGTCGTCTAAATTAGAATATAGTGACAAATTTCGTCTAGATAAGATTATAGTCACAAATGTCGTTTAAATTAGAATCAAGTCACAACGAATGTCGTCTAGATTAGAATATTATGTTAAGAATAGAGGAACACTTCAAATCTTTACAGTACACCTCATGCAATTTAATTTTAAAAAATCTTAAGTTCTTTACAGTCGTTTTCTGCTGTATATTTCTAGCATTTTATAAAAATACAATCAGAACATTCTTTAAAAATTGTTTAATATTTCTTATATTTTAATATTTGGATTTGAATTTTGTGGTATCTTAAACATACTTTTCTAAAAAAAAATACATTAAAATTGTTTTTAAATTTTAAAAGCATGGTTTAATATTTTTAAAATTCTTAACTGGAGAAGCTTTGGTCTATAATTTTCTTGGTAGTTTCTTTTTCTAAACAGACCATACGTAATATTTTTTTTAAATAAGGAAGAGTAACCTGTTGTTGATTTTATTGCTATAATCTATTAACTAAGTTTTCTTGCTAAAGTCTACACAATTGTTAACAACAATCCTAGTCTTAGCATATAAATTCCCAACCTGATATTTTAAAAATGTGCTAACAACCCAACACCCCAACTTTCGGTAGAGTCCATAGCAAGGTCACACTCATATAACTTAGCGTGTATGCAAAAAAAAAATACGTTCCAAAACATTAACTCTAGCATGTGTGCAGCAATTGGACAAAAGGCTGCACTTATGTATAAGCAACGCGATCCACCCTTTGTCGCTGGTCTATTTTAAGCCGAGAAAGATGCTATAACCTCACGGGTTTCCGTAGTTTTGTTACATAAGGAGTGTTACGTTTTGATTCGGTTTAAGCATTATTTAAATTTGCCGTTGAACGTTCAGGAATCGCAACATGCTTCTAAAGTGGGTGTATGTTTCAATATTTAATTTTTAAATTATAGTACTTGTTTTTTCCTTTAAATTAAATTTAAGTTTAAGTGTATTTGAATTTTTACCTTCCCGTATACGAAGTATTGAGAAAGTATTGTAATCGCGCAAAAAAAAAAAAAACAACAACAATTGAGATTTTTGCCTATCTCGCCGTTTTACACCTCATTGAGTCGGAAAAACATAGTTTTGCAATCTTGTCAGTATGTCTGTGTGTATGTGTGTGTGTGTGTGAGTATGTGTGTCTGTGAACACGATTACTTGAGTACCGTTAGAGCTAGGTTGATGAAATTTCACATATAAGTTGTGTGTCAATTTTTCACCGATTTCCGGTAATAAGAAGTAGCACTTATTCTACTTTCAATTTTTCAAAAGCCTATAACTTGAGCATTGTTTCAGATAGATAAATAAAATTTCACATTTAAGCAAAATATCTAATTCTCTGCCTTCTTCCAAATTTTGAGTACGGTCCGTTGACCGGAAGTAGTAATTTACGCTATTTCCGATTTCTCAAAAAAAAAAAAAACGCATGTGAATTTATAAAGTACTAATAATATTCCGCACTATTGTTTGTAGTTCACTTGGTGTGCAATTCTTTTTTGTACGAGATTCTATTTTAAAAAGTTTGAGTAATTAAAAATGGATTAAAAATCATGTCTATATCCCGAGGTGCCATCCCCCGTAGTGTTATATAAGAATATTCGAGAAAGTTAAGGGGAGATCACTCTCGGTTTACTTTACTTTCTCGTATACGAAGTGTATAGGAAGTATTGTAATCGTACACACATTCTAAAACGAGATTTTCACAAATTTCGACGTTTTACACCTTACTGAGTCGGAAAAACATAGTTTTGCAATTTTTCCGTATGTCTGTGTGTGTATATATATAAGTCTGTGAACACGATAACTTGATTACAGATACAGCTAGTTTGATGAAAGTTCTGTTTCAACATTTCAGCATTTTCCGGTAAAAGGAAGTGGAACATTCTACTTTTGTTTTTTTCGAACGCCTATAATTTTAGTACTGTTTCATGTAGATAAACGAAATTTCACATATAAGTACAATATCTAATTCTCTGCCGTCTGTCAAACTTTTGAGTAATTTACGCTATTTCTTTGAAAAACACATATGAATTTACAAACTACTAGTACTCCGACTTTTTTTTTACAGATATTGTTTGCCGTTTAATTGGTGCGCAATTTTTTTTCTCCGAAATTCTATTCTATTTTTAAAAAGTTTAAATATGTAAAAACGGATTATAAAAAAATTCTTATAAAACGTTTTAATATCAAGATTTATGTAATAATGCCTTAAAAAGTAGAAAACAAATTATAAACTACTATTTAAATAAGTAAAAAGAAAAACGTGGGTCTTGACCCACGTGCCAACGTTGAAACAAATATGTAAGTTAGAAGTGTCCGAAATTTCTCTCGAGTTTTTCGATCTAGACTGTCGGTTGACGGCAGAACGACAGAGACAGTGAGTTAAATAAAAGCTTGTAAAAAAATTCTTAAAAAACGTTTTAATAACAAGCTTTACGAAATAATGCACTAAAAAGTAGAAAATAAATGATACACTAATATTTAAATAACTAAAAAGAAAAGCGTGGTATACCTTAAGTATCTATTGGATACCTTTACTAATATATACTTCTTTACTTCTTCACTTCTTTATAGGTATTTAAATAGTAGTGTATATATTTTATACTTTTTAGTGCACTATTACATAAAAGCTTGTTATTACTTTTTTTCATGAATTTTTTTTCAGTACATTAAAATTTTTAAATTTACAATAGAGTTGCATGACTAAAAACTATTGCGCACCTAATGAACGTGATGACGCGTGTATAATAGTGCAAAATAGTTGGGTAAGACTGCCTACTAATTTGGTCAAAATTTTAATTAATTAATAAGAAAATAATTAGGCATCCAATTAAGTCAAATTTAATGTCTGGTTGCATTGTCTTCATGTCTTGACCCACGTGCCATCTTTTATTCGATTCTATCAGATGTGTCCATAATTTCGCTCGGGCGTTTCGATCTAGACAGACTGACGACTGACGACAGAGGAAGCAAGTTAAATAAAAGCTCGTAATAAAAGCTTGTAATTAAAACGTTTTAATGAATTTTTTCAGTACTTTAAATTTTTAAAAATTACAATAGAGTTGCATGACTAAAAACCATGTGCACCTAATGAACGCGATGACGCGTGTATAATAGTGCGGAACAGTTGGGTAAGACTGCCTACTAAATTGGTCAAAATTTTAATTAACTCATAAAAAACTCCTAAAACTAATTAAGTCAAATTTAATGTCATGTTGCATTGTCTTCATGTCTTGACCCACGTACCAACTATGAACCGAATCTGTCAGTGAGAAGTGCATGAATTTTCGCTGTAGCGTTTTGTTAGTTATTTAAATAGTATTGTATAATTTTTTTTCTACTTTTGAGTGCATTATAACATAAACGCTTGTTATTAAAACGTTTTTTATGACTTTTACTTTCTCGTGCGAACGATGAAACAAATACGTCAGTTAGAAATGTCCGAAATTTCACTTGGGCGTTTCGATCTAGACTGACGACACAGGAAGCAACTTAAATAAAAAGCTTGTAAAAACGAATTTTGTTAAATGTTTTTTCGACCAGCAGGTGCATTTAGTTGACACGCCAAAAAAAGGTAAGTTAACATGATCTAAAAAAAAATCGTGTGACAGGGGGATAGGATCAGCCACCCGAAACGTTGCATTCGGAATCGTTAAAAGACACGGTAAGGTTAGGTAACACGGTTTATATATTCGGGTGATCGTTGTTGGCTTACATATTACGTAAAGGCTAACTATTCATTTCAAACTTGCCATCATTAAAATATCAAGTCGTTTAAATATGATATTAAAATATCATATTACTAATGCTCAAAACTTGTGCTTAGCTATCCAATAGCTAAACTCAAACATTTTTGTAAAGAGAAGAAGGATGTGTCTAAAAGATTAAGATGGCTGTAAAGTTTGCCTCAGCGTAATGCAGGTATAATTTCATTGAAATATAATACCAAAATAAACAAGTGTATGGCACACAGAAAAGTCATTTTCTATGTTCTTGTTTTATTATCTACAACTTAGTTTTATATTTAAATTAGTCTTGAAATATAATCAATTAATCAAATGAAAGAAATTATGAAGTATATAAGTATGACCATCGTCATATAATACAGATACCTTTTTTGATAAAATTAAAAATTTCATATTTTAAGTGTTCAAATTTTTGCCGAATCTCTAATATCGTGACTACACATTTGACAGTGCCAACAAGAATGATGTCGCCTGGTGCGCCACAAATATGAAATACATGCAATTTAGTGTGGGTTTTTTCCTCGTCTTTAGAATACTAGTAGTTCTCTAAAGCCATGCAAATAAACCGGGCTAAGTACAATTAACTTTTTTATATTTCAGATCACTTGTGTGTCTCGCTTTACTGCAATGCGCATGCACACTCAGAACTTACAGAAGTAAAATTCCCAATGGAGACTCTGTCCCGTACCCTTGTAAACCAAATAACGTCTGGGAGGGGGTGGGTCACATTCTGGACGAGGGGACCGGAGTCCGAAACTGGTTCGGGTTGGATTTTCAGGACGCTGGACATGTAAGTAAACAAAAATGACCTTTTAAAATTTTAGAATTTTGATTTCAGCCAATTAAACACTTTCGTTTTTTTTTCTAAGGCATGGACAGAAGATCTGTGCAGAAAAGATTCAGACGGTGATGGGTTGACCAATGGTCAAGAGTTGGGTGATCCTAACTGTACATGGAAAGAGAACTCTATTCCTGAAAGGAAAACTGGATTATCTCACCCTGGTAAGTCATTTACTACACTCTAAAACATCTAAGCGTCTTTACTGTTAAATGATTTTGTTTGATATTGTTTTTGTTTATTGAAAATTTCCTTCAAATTATACCTCATGTAAAACAACTTTAAGAAATTCTCTTAAAAAACCTCTTCCCCCAGGCATCTGTGACCCGTGGGACTCCCCGTCCTGCCAGGCTAAGCCCGTCACCCACCCAGTGTACAAGACCCAGGGGGACTGGATGAGAGAGGAGTGTAAGGCCCAGGAGTTTGTTTGTGTTGCCAAACATGAACCAGGTCAGGCTGTGATGTTGTTGTTGTTGTTGTTGTTGTTGTTGCTGCTGTTTTTAGTTTGAGTAATAAAAAAACTGCAGGTCAGTTTGGTTGATAACACATTCAAAAATAGAGCTCGATGTAATTTTGGAACATGGTGGTCTAGTGGTAGGACGCTAGATCTTATCCTGATTTCTAGTTTTTGGTCGTCCCCCCTCTCCCTGTTTTGCATTATCGTTACTTTCCTACAAAACTAATTAATCTGCCCAATCCAAAATTCGTAGCAAGACTTGGCCTAGCAGTAGAGCGTCAGACTGCTTACCCGAAAGTATCGAGTTCGATGCCGGGTTCAAGTAAGTAGTATAGTAGGTCCCCTTTGGGTATCATTTGTGCAGACATGTTTATATAGTAAAATATTGAGCAGCCAGAGCAGACATGTTATATAGTAAAATACTCCAGCTGGAGCAGGTGTTCCCCTCCTCCTATTGTCTTCCGTGACGCTCCTTTACGGCCGCGACGACAAACAATAGAGTATCGATTTTTTTTTGAAAAGATATGTTTAAATAGTCATTAAAAATAATTTATTCAGCTAGGCTTGCTTTACAATAGGCCATATTTCTCATACAGTTGATCTATAAATAGCCGTTACTATTTACTATCAGTCTGTTTTTGTCCTCTGTTTTTTGTCTAGTCGTGTTAATTATGTTAAGTGTGATTGCTTTATTTGTTGTGGCTGTTTGCTTTGTTGGTTTTTAATATTTACATATGTTGTAATCACAACGTTTTCATTGTTTTTTTTTTTTTTTTTTTTTTTTTTTTTTTTTTTTTTTTTTTTTTTTAACCACCTTTTAACTTTAAGGTTCTATAACCATCATTTTGACGACCACTTATATATATAATTAAATATATTTTGTTTATATTTTTATAATTTTCTAAAAAATATTAATATAGAAGATAAACAAATATTTTTTTTTTCTTTCTGTGATCTCGGCATATGAAGTGATAGTGTGTTCATCACTATGTCCAACCGCCTTACTTTCCCTAACGTAAGTTAGGTACCCATCAGAGTTGGGTAGACTCGGAGACAGTCTACTGTCTTTGAACCTGGATTCGAACTCGGGACTTTTGGGTTAGCAGTCGTAAGTTCTACCACGCTGCCCCTTCATTCATGACTATATAAGTTCCTATTGATTTGGTCAGAATAATTGTCAGGGGCACAGTTATCTCTTTACTAAATAAAACTAATATAGAAACGAAGGGAGAGTCGAATTTTTCTAGAACAGTCTTGTTAACAACCACGAGTAGCGTCCCGTAAATTTAGGATCCCAATGGTTTAACATAGAAATGACACTAAATACCCTTGGTGATGTCTTTATAAACAAAAAGTCGGTTAAGTTTCAAATCTCAAGTTTTGTAAACGTCTTTGTTTAAGTATTTACATTGTTTTATGTAGGTTCAGAAGTATTTCATAGCGACAATGGAACAGTGTCCGTGTGCGTTTGTTTACATTTAAAAATACATGTCGCGTGCTTTGCGCGCGTCTCACGACGTTTTAAGTTTTCCTAGTGTTTTTAAAACAGCGATTTCTTTCTAAAATAGTGACCAGGGTCAGACATCAAAGAGTATATTAATCAATTATCATTAACAATTTAAAAAGTAATTTAGGATGTCAATGGTTTAACATAGAAATTACACTAAATACCCTTGGTTATGTCTTTGATTTTGTAAACAAAAAGTCGATTATGTTTCAAATCTCAAGTTTTGTAAACTTCTTTGTTTATGTGTTTACATTGTTTTAAGTAGGTTCAGAACTAGGTTTATTTTATTAACATAAAAGTTTTGTCTTAATTAAAAATAATTGTCAGACTAAATAGCTAATTAAATTGATCAATAGCAGTTTGGTTTAATAAGTAATATATGTGTTACACCAGCGTTAATCTTAGAAAAATATTTTGATTGTTATGCTTATAATTTTTTTCCCAATTGTCTTATTAATACTCAGCCCTACGACTTGTGAGATAATGACCAGCATAGTATATATTATATTTTTTTTTTTTTTATTTTTTTTTTATTTTTTTTTTAAAGTCATCACTACCCCACTGAAACCTCTTAAAATAAGGCCATTTTCCTATGATCAACCCAATGGTTTAACATAGAAATGACACTAAACCCCCTTGGTAATGTCTTTGTAAACGAAAAGTCGGTTAAGTTTCAAATCTCAAGTTTTGTAAACGTCTTTGTTTAAGTATTTACATTGTTTTATGTAGGTTCAGAAGTATTTCATAACGACAATGGAACAGTGTCCGTGCGCGTTTGTTTACATTTAAAAATACATGTCGCGTGCTTTGCGCGCGTCTCACGACGTTTTAAGTTTTCCTAGTGTTTTTAAAACAGCGATTTCTTTCTAAAATAGTGACCAGGGTCAGACATCAAAGAGTATATTAATCAATTATCATTAACAATTTAAAAAGTAATTTAGGATGTCAATGGCTTAACATAGAAATTACACTAAATACCCTTGGTTATGTCTTTGATTTTGTAAACAAAAAGTCGATTATGTTTCAAAGCTCAAGTTTTGTAAACTTCTTTGTTTAAGTGTTTACATTGTTTTAAGTAGGTTCAGAACTAGGTTTATTTTATTAACATAAAAGTGCTGTCTTAATTAAAAATAATTGTCAGACTAAATAGCTAATTAAAATGATCAATAGCAGTTTGGTTTAATAAGTAATATATGTGTTACACCAGCGTTAATCTTAGAAAAATATTTTGATTGTTATGATTATAATTGTTTTTTTTTTTTTCCAATTGTCTTATTAATACTCGGCCCTATGATTTGTGAGATAATGACCAGCATGGTATATATTATATTTATATACACTGTTATTATTTTTTTAAAGTCATCACTACCCCACTGAAACCTCTTAAAATAAGACCATTTTCCTATGATCAAAATTTTAGCGCAAATCAGTGAGAAATAAATCGGGTCTAGCTTATATTAATCCAACTGATGTCGTTTAGAAGAAAAGCTGTACCTACAATTAAATTTACTGAAAGGTTTGCTTAAAAGCTTTTATCAAAATGGTTGTGCACTTATACTTGTAATAAGTTATAATTTTTTACTTTTCATAGATATGTATTGAATTAGTCCATTTTGATTATGACTTGTTGTCCTGGCGTTGACATTTTACACTTTTTTTTTTTGAGACTCACATATACACATACATATACATACACACACACACACACACACACACACAAATGAAACTAAAATCAAATCACAACAAGTCTTGTTTAATTTTATTAATTTTATTTTCCCTAAGCCGATAAAATACTATGGTATAATATTTACAAGCTTGCAAAACATACACGCGTCATCCACTCTATATATTTTTTAAGTGCAACGAAGGCACGAGACCGCCTTTTATTGTGTGCCGTGAGCACAATACCCATTGTATGGGTATCTGAGCATAGGGCAATAGCTATACCCCAACGCACATGGGCGGTTAGATAATAAGCGAGGTAGCTTTTCCGCGGAGCAAGCTGTGAAACAGGTGAAATAAAGAAAGTCGCTTTTTTTGTATTTTATGTCTCAATCAGGGTGGCGCGATATTTTTTTTTTCTCTTTGTATCCGTGTTGTAAACAAAATGAGAAGGAGAAAGGGTAGTGACCTACCCTCCCACCCGTGTGTTCCATGATGGCAAACACAATTTTAAATGTGTATTTGTTACGTTTTAGTAGCGATACATCTTCTACTTGTTTCTTCCTTGTGACATCATTAGCAGGGGAGACGATTCGTTTCAGCGGAGCGAGTCGTGCGTCATTTAAAGACATCAAATAGGGTAATGTTACACAAGTCAAGCTTTTAGTACTCTGTTGAAATTAATTAAAGGGAGAAAACCCTAAAAAATATTTACTAATGTCCCTCTGGTGTAATCTTTACAAGCTAACAAAACATACGACGTCATCCACTCTACGCATTTTTTTTTTTAAAGTGCTACGAAAGCACGCGGCTACCTTCCATTGTGTACCGTGACCACAATACCCATTGTATGGGTATCTGCGCATAGGACAATGAATCAAACAGACTGTGTCGGAAAAATACTTCCACACAACACCCTTCTCTCGAAGAAGACAATTTATTTTTAACTTCACGTTGAGTAATTTTATTTTTTTTATTTTTTAAAAGTGTTTTTGGTACGTTTTAGTAGCGAGATATCGTCTACTCGTTTCTTCCTTGCGATGTCATTAGCAGGGGAGATGATTCGTCTTTTACAGTGAGCTAGACCATCTCTTTTCCAAGTGCAACGTACGCGAAATAAAGACACTAGCTTTTGTATTTTATATTGCAAGCAGGTGACGGGATATTTATACATCTGCTTGAGCGTTATCGGCGAAACTTGTTTTAAACATTATTAATACGCTAAAATTTTAAAATATCTATTATTAACAAATATTGTCATTTTAACACACTGCGTAACTGCGTAACCATCAAGTTGAATCAACCACACCTGATGTTACCACTCGTAAAGTCAAGTCTTCAAGACAAAACACTGATACTAAACAAGACATTAAACTGAATTATATGCCACTATGTGATACAACTAATATTATCTTTGCAATTTTAAAAGAGGGGGTATAACTTGTATTGAGTATAGATGTATACGTGTTTAATATTTAATGCCTGGAACACAGGAAAAAAAAACAGATTTACATCCCCGCAACATCCGACATAAGGGTGGTGATGGGAAAGGGGAGGGCGGAATAGAAAAATCACCATAAAATGTTTAATGCTACAAACGCTTGGCTTTATTCAATGCCCTAAGAGTAGAAATGTGACATAATTTTATGTATGTCTTCATTGTAACAGTCACCATAACAAATGATTAACATTTATGATTTTTTTGTGCAAGAAAGGCTCCCAGTGTGATTGCACCAAGTCCTGCCACAGACCATTTAATTAATGTTTTAAAAGATGGCCAATCTCTCTGACTTTCAGTGCGTGAATAAAACTCAACCAGACCTT